TCCCTCTAAAGGAAATAAATATATTTCATTGATTTAAAAAAATATTCTTTAATTTCGAAAAATTATAAACTTAGAGAAAAAACCTAGCAGTTTAATCTCAAAAAACAATAATTGAAATTAAAAAAACATTTACTTCAATAAAAAAAATTTATTAAACTTAAAAAAAGGATGTTTAGAATTTACAAAATGTGCAATGTAAATTAAACAAATATTTTTAAAAGTAAAAAATTTATTTTTGAAAGTTATATTCAAATAAATGATTTATTTAAATATAAATAATCAAATAAATCATTAATTTGAATATAACACTAGGCGCGCAGAGAGTTGTAACGATCGATCGATCTCGCCGCACGTTTGAATTGGGCAGTGGGCCGGCCTAAAACAGCGATTTTTAATAATTAATAACTCGCTGACTTTTACGAAAATTGCAAAATGGTAGAGGACTTTTCGACTTACAATTAGTCTAGTCCACTCTATCCCACAATAAGCGTTGATGCAGGTATTACATAACACCCTGTATAATCAAAAGTGGATGCAAAACTTGTTGGACAGTGATCACCATAATTGTTTAACATGCACCAAACTGTTCAAACTTATTTTCTAAATGCTATCACAACTGTGCCGAATTGCAACAATAATGGATCCTTGTAATTGCAATACATATTTCTTATAGCACTTACGTAAATTAAAGTGATCAATCCTCTCTAATCAACAAGAGAAATAATTCATTGCCAATGCAAACCATTGTAACGATGTTGATAATGTATTTTCCGCGTATTTTCTGGTACAAAACAAATACATTCCATATTCACTTTGTAATGTTATTCTATATAATTTTTTTAATCATATGACATATTGTATATGTACGTTAATTAATTAATTAATAAAAAATAATTAACTTATTAGATTCTAGAAAGTTAAAGTAAAAAGTAATAGAATAATATTGGGGTTTTATATTACTATTCTTGTGACATAAAGAATTATTAAATATACTTAATAAAGAAATATTTTTAGCTGCACCATAATGATCACGTACATTACATTTGCTACACAAAACTGCAAAAATATGTTAATTAATTTTTGTATTGAATCATGTCATTGAAAAATTACATTCAAAATAAATTAAAAACAAGATTGTATTGTATTACATATGAGAAAGATATTACAGCAATTTTTATTTTAATGATAATTTTAAAAGCAGTTCCTTGGATTTTTATACAGTTTATTTGATACTAAGCATTATATAGGTATTAAGCGATATTAAATTGGTAAATTTATAGAAAAATATGTAAATGCAGAAAAAGTTTCACCTTCCGAAGGAATTCATAACCAAAATAGAAAAGACCCATTCCTGTAAACTTCAGCGGAGAATGCATTGTTTGCAGAGTGAACTGATAAATCTGTATATAATTTGTTATTTAGTTTTACAAAATTTCTTGTTATTTCTTGCTAAAATATTTTTTACCTCCTCCCAAGCATCAGCATTTTGGCGGATGTAAGTAAATCGATGAAATAATTTATTAATTTTGTTAGCCTGAAATTCGTAATTTATAGAATATATTCAAATATACATATATATGTATACGTACATTGGTATACTGATTGAATTTGAATATTTTGCAAATTTTACCTTTTCTGTGACGTTCTCGCAGATATAGTTTACAATGTATAATCTCACAAGAAACATAGAAACCCATACTATTATACTAAACCAATCATATATTGTGTATGTTTCGTCTTGTTCCTGTATTACGTATAGCATATAATATACGTAATAGAACAGTGATGTTAAATATAAAAGACAAGACGCCATTTCAAAAGTCATTTGCACTGTAAATATTAAGCTTAACTCACGAGTGAGGCGAATTAATTCTAAATAAAGATGCCTGTAAAAGTATATTCTTTGAGAAAACTTAGAGGATTTATGGTTACAGTTAAAATTATAAATTTTAAAATCAAAATAATTTTTATAACTTATTTCACGATTTCTATGCAAATCTATGTCTATCGATTAAATTTTATTATTAAAGTAGCATTAATTTAAATTGATAATCCGTTCAAATATATGCAAGTATTAATTTACATTGAGGTCCATAATGTTAGTTTGTAATCAATACACAAAGTATATCGATCAAGAGCGTTAACAGATATCATCCGTGTCAATCCATCGTCTTCTCTCATTAGTAAGCATTGTATATGCTCCTTCACTTTATCGAATCTAGTGCCAATGTACCTATAATTTCTCAAAAATAGTAAAATATATGATGTATATGCGTGTGTGTTTGTGCATGTACTGACGTTTTTATGTGTATGTATATATTATATATTATATATATTATGTTATACTATACAAACCATAAGAAGAAGATAAATAACATGTCCACAAAGGCATTCATATGAACATAAAAATTTATTATGTGAGCCATATATAATCCCCAAGAAGCAAGTTCTTCGAAACGTAACCACCATATTGTGTCAAAAAAATTTATTATAAGGACGTACACGAGCCAACCAAATATTAATTGTTTTGACTTTGCATATAACTTTTCGTACATTTTTGGAGTACCTAACTTTTCCAAAGTATCATCCACAGCAGCAAGCTTTTTTATGTTTATCTCAAATCTCTAAAACAATATCAAACGGTAATGTAAAACATATATTTGAAGCAATTATACCACAAACTGTGTCTTAAGAAAGGCGGAACGTTTAAAAGATTTAACTGACACTGTTTGAGTTATAGATAATTTGGATTGTATCGTTATTGTCATACTTATAGAAATACCTTTTGATGATAAAAACTCATAATCACGTACGTAATTGAAATTAAAAAGTTACACATTTCACACATTTTTATAGCAAGCGTTTCGTATAATATTTCTTGTGCAAAATGGACATTTATATAGAAAAAAAGATACATATAAGCTGACCAAATTATCAAAGAATATAGAACATTTAAGTGTACAACCCATCGAATATTTGATTGGTTTTTAGAAAGAGAGCCTAAACCCATAATAAAGCACATAAAAAAAAGAGGACGCAAGCTCTGTTGAAACGTCACCATTATATTAATATCAGCAATTATTCACATTCACTTCTAACAAGTTACTACAAATTTACTTCTACTTCTTAGATATATAGCAATTATGTTCGCTCTCAACGATAAAGATCCTAAGATATGTTCGATAGCATATGTTTGTTATTAGCACTCATGCTTATTAAAATAATTGATTCTATTTGATGGATGAAAGCGATAACTCAGCAATTAATTTCTTACTATGGATTATTAAAATGATATTAACTCATTTTTCAGTTGCTTTATTTACATAGCTCTCACAATATCGTATATGTATATATGTATGTATAACATTAGTTAACTAGGACATCTGACATTAGTAAATAGGATACTAATAATATAAACAATTATGCAATTGTTTGATTATGTCCGCGTGTAGCAATTATACATATAAACACAAGTAGAGAACAAACTAAAAAGTACATTTATAAAATTTATGAAATAATATATAAATTTATATTATTTAATTTATATTTTGTTCACTTTCTTCAATTTGTGAGAAGGAAAAAAGGTAGATATTTGAGATAGAACTCATAAATAATTATTATACGGGCAAGAATTATTTTATATTTGATGTAATCACATTTAATCTTCTATTATAATTCAATTAGTGTCAGATCAGTTACTATATTACGAAATCTTGATACATTCTTCCCATGTTTCATTGAACAAGATACTAATTTTTCTTATTTCTATTGGCAAGCAAAAAGCATCGTATACACTTATCTAATAACTATTAGGTATTTTAAACTGCACCATGATGATCACGTACATTAATATTGCCGTGTAAAACTGAAAGAAACATATTAATAAATTAGTTTCATTGCATATAAGAGTAGCTTTAAGAGTAACTTTATTTAAATAGTATTGTAAAACAAGTTAGAAATCGGATAGTACAGTGTATAACACATAAAGATATTACAACAATTTTTATATTAAAGATGATTTTAAAAGCAATTATGATTTTACAAGTTTATACGCTAAGTACATTAATTAGCAAGACATTAATTAGCATGACATTCATTAAAATTTGTAGAGAAATTGGTAAAATTGTTAACCTTGCGAAGAAATTTATAGCCAAAATTAAAGAGACCCATTCCAGTGAATCTCACAGGATGATGCAGTGTTTGTAGAGTAAACTGATGAATCTACATACACACTGTTATTTAATTTTAAACAAGTTATTGTATTTATAGTTTTCTATCAAATTATTTTTTACCTCTTTTTTAATATCATTGTTTTGAAGGATGTTTGTTAATTGGTGAATTGTTTTATTAATTTCTTTAGCCTGAAATTAAAAACTTATTATATTAACGTTATATGTATATGTTGTTATGTTATATGTATTATATACATATACATATATGGAGCATTCTATGCCAAATGGGCCACCCTTGTTTCACAAAAACGGATTTTTTTTTCACTTATATGTATGTATAATGCATTTAAAATTCATCCTTGGAATCTCAAACCTATGAGAGTTACACTCTTTGGATTACACTCACTATTTCATACAGTTTGGAAATAGCGCTCCAATCTATCTTGCTATTTCAATTATGTCCTCATACATATTTTGCTCAATACTCCAATAATAAAAATGCTGCATATATATATGTATATTGTAATACTAATTAAATTTATATTTTTATAATTGATAATATGTTTTTACCTTAACCGTAACACTCTCACAGGTATAATTCACAATGTAAATTCTTATCAAAAATATAAAAACCCATAAGCCGATGTTAAACCAATCATATATTGTGTAGATTTCATCTCGATGTTCCTGCACTAACATCATGTATAAGTAATAGAATAGTGCTGTTAAATATGGAAGATAAGACGCCATTTCAGAAGTCATTTGCACTGTAAATATCAAATTCAACTCGCAAGCGAGGCGAGTTAATTCTAAATGTAGGTGCCTGCCAAAAAACATGACATAGTTTTTGAAAAATATACAGAAATTAATATAATAATATACAACATAATTTAGAGAATATAAGTAATTTTAATAATTTGTTATTTTAATAATTTTTATAATAATTGATATTTATTAATTAAATTTTGTTATGAAGTTAACATCAAGTTATAATATTCTAATCCAATATGTGCCAATGTCGATTTACATTAAAGTCCATAATGTTCCCATATAATCATTACACAAAGTATATCCATGAAGAGTAATCGCAGGTTTCTTCCGTGTACATCGTTTATGATATTTTCTCACTAATAAGCATCGCATATAATCGTTCACTCTGTCAAATCTGGTGCCAATATACCTATGTAAATAATCTCTCAAAAATTGTAAAATATCTAGAATTCCTATGGTATTTATTATATGTATATGTATAAATAATGACACATAGAAGGTTTTTAATGAATATAAGCTTTATTAAAAAATATTATATTATACTAAGCTAAGAAAAGTATATCGGTATTTAATACAATTTTTTTTAATTAGTACGAATATAATAAATTGACATTTGAATAATTAAAATATTTTGTTATAATAGTTATAAAAAAATTTTAATTTCTGTTAAACTTACAAAATAAAAAAATATTAATACAACTGAGATATGTGAATGTATGTCCCGGTGTATGTGTTTACAAATAATACTATTATACTAACCACAAGAAGAAGGTAAATAATATATCCACAAGTGTATTGACATGAATACAATGATTTAGTATGTAAATTATAAATATTGCCCAAGATGCAAAGTTTTTGATGCGTAACCACCATATTGTATCGACAATATTCATTGAGAGACTGTACACGATCCAACTAATTATTATTTGTTTCGACTTTGCATGTAACTTTTCGTACATTTTTGGAGTACCTAACTTTTCTAAAGTATTATCCACAGAAGCAAGTTTCTTTATGCTTATCTCAAATCTCTAAAACAATATTAAGCGATAATTTAAATTTGAATATGAAAGCACATTCAAAACAATTATGCTTTTACAAGATGTAACTGTAGAAAGAAATATTCACTGTCATATTAGAAATACCTTTTGATAATAAAAACTTGTAATCGCAGATATAATTGAAAGCAAAAAGTTTGTCTTTTCAACAATTGCCACATTAGCAGAATGAAATAATATTTTCTCTCCAATATTGGTCAGCGTATGAAGAAGGAGATAGATATAAACCAACCACTTTGTCACAGAATATAAAATATTTAATTTTGCAATCCATCGAATGTTTAATTGTTTTTTAGGATAGAAGCCTAAACCCATAATAAAGCACATAATAAAAAAAGGACACAAAACTTGCTGAAGTGTATCACCCATACTCATTCGTACTACAAACCGACTACGTTTTCTGGCGAGTTCAAATTCACAAATTGAGTTGCTAGGCATATCTTGACTGCGTCGACTCGCAGCGATAGTAGATCTTCGTGAGATGCCTATTCGTTGTTATATGTTTGTTATTAGTACTCACATGTATTAAAATAATGGGTTCTATTAGATAGGTTAAAGAGATAATCAAGCATTGAATTTTTTGTATCTTGAATTATTGAAATGTTAAGTGTTATTAATCCATTTTTACCAAAACATTGGGCACATTTTTGTCAACACTGTCCGATAAAGCATAGTATTGACTAATCTTGTATTTCTAAATTAATTCCTAAATTATTGCTTTTTGAACACAAATATTTTAAACGTTATACATTTGTATCATGATAATCATGAACGTTGTAATTGTCATGCAGCACTGAAAAAAATGTATCAATTAATTTTCACTACACATAAATTGCATTTCATTGGAATATAAAATAAGTTAAAATCAGTACGTTGAATGTGATGACTGGTAATAATTTTCTTCATTGATAACTTTAAAAGAAATTCTCTATCTGTAATTTCTGCAGTATAATACAACACATAATGTAGAAATAAAGTAAGAAGATAAATGTAATAATAAACCTTTCGAAGAAACTGATTGCCAAAGTAGAAAAGGCCCATTCCAGTAAACTTTAGCGGATTATGCATTTTTTGTAAAGTAAACTGATATATCTAGAAATTATTATTTACAATTTTAATGAATTCGTCTTATCCCTATTTTCTCTGCTAGAATTTTATTACCTCTTTCCTAATGTCAGAATATTGAGCAGCATTTATCAATCGATGAACTACTTTGTCAATTTTATTAGCCTGAAAGTAAAAATTCATTATTATGTATATCTATGTACATATATTACATTTTTTATCGAAGAATATATGTTTGTACCTTAACACTGACATTCTCACAAATGCAATTTATGGTAAAGAGTTTTGCCACAAATACAATGGCCCATGATGATATATGATACCATGCAGTTATTGATATTTCCGCTCGATCTTTTCGCATTATCATTCCATACATGTAATAACACGTTGCTGTTAAAAACAATAGGTATGTCGTAAGTTCGAAAGTCATTTGCGTTCCGAATATAAAATTCAATTCGCGTGCAATACGACATAATTCTAAATGCAGATGCCTGGAAAAATACATTTCATTACCAAAGACTGCAGAAATTGTGAGAATTGATGAAAAGTAGTTTTCATAATTTATTGTTAACTTTTTATATTATATAAGCACTGATCGATAATTTGTGCAAATATATGTGTGTGCCGATTTACATTGTGCTCCATAAAACTTGCTTGTAACTGTCAGTATACAGGGTGAGTTATAACATTTGTCCACGAGCTCGTGAGAAGGTAGAACGGATCGAGATGAACAGAAAAGTCCTGAAACATTTTGCAATTTTCGCAATAGTTAACGAGAAAAAAATTATCGAAAATCGTCGTCTTTGCCCTGCCCACTGTCCAATTCGAGCGCGTAGCGAGATGTGACCGCACGGCGATCGATATTGCCAGGCGAGGGATGGGGACCCGAG